CCCCAAAACCCCAAAACCCCAAAACCCCAAAACCCCAAAACCCCAAAACCCCATTAGTATTATTAGAACTTGAAACAAATCTATAAAATACGAAATAACTAAAATGGGACTGTTTAGGATTTCACAATTTGGACAAATGTTTATCTTTAAAACTCTTCATTACATCATGATGTAGGCCAATGCAGTAGTAATCATTCCTACAGCACCATATGATAGATAAGCTGAGTTGAATCCGTTCCAGTTTTTGAAGGTGATAGTGTTAGCAACACAATCATTATTGTTGGCAGTATTCGCCCATGTTTGAGGATCTAAAATTTGTCCTAGTCTGAACAAATTGAATCCTTCCTTCTTGTCTCTAACGTCCCAGAATCCTTTGCATACTGATCCTGTACCGAAACTAGTAACACCTGAGAGTCTGTGGCATTTTAATCCCTTGGTAAATTTGGAATTTTCTGCGATGAGATCTTGAACTGGCTTGTCTCCTAAGAAAACAGGGCAGATGGCTTTGTTGTCTTTGTTGAACCCACAAATTGGATTTACGAGTACTTCAGTCTCAGTGTTGAAATTATCAGCGGCTTCATCTACAAAGGTAGCTGTTTTACATTGAGTCTGTAAGTTGGGAGATCTCAAAGAATCATCCTTGTTTCTCTGATGATTTCTACATTGTTGAGTTCCTTCAACAGTAGCTTCACCTGTAGTCTTACATACTGTCGATGCAACGACAGTGGCGGCTCCGAGAGATCCTGAAGGAGCAGTATTTGCTACTCTTGTGAATCTGTCTCCATTATTGAGGGTTCCGAATTCAGTGCACTTGAATTCTGTTCCATCTGGAGAAAGCTTGATACAATCATGGCCAATAGCACAATCGCTATCCTTAGTACAAACGCTATTAGCGGTTAACAAAGGAGCACATTTATCTTCAGCAGAGCAGAAGTGGCCAACTGGGCAGTTCTTAGATTCACCTGCACAAGGAGAGTCTGCTTTAGTGGAAGCTACGCAAACACTATTTGTACATTTGGCTTCATTCTCTCCTGATGTGAAGCAATCTCCATCAGCAGTACAATAGTCTCCGTCAAGACCAACTCCGGCAGTGGCGGTGAAATCTTGAGGGAAATTAGATGGGTTATTAGCACCACATTGGAGATTAGCAGCGGCTGCTACTGCTGCTGCTGGATCTGTCCAGGCATCAGCTTGGCAGAAATCATCTCCGGTACACTCTTGAGCAGCGAAAGTGTTTGCAGCACCTTCAGTTCCATCGGTTCTTTGTCCTCAAAGGCGTGTATCTCCTTCTTGATCGATGCTACTACAAGCGAAGACTGCGCATTCACCGTCTGCATAACTAAGGGCTACGAATAGAGCTAAGATAGCGAGTATTATCTTCATTTTTAATATTACTAAAGTTAATAGGAAAATCAATTAATCCTTGCTTTACAGGGGTTTTGGGGTTTTGGGGTTTTGGGGTTTTGGGGTTTTGGGGTTTTGGGG